AGCCAAATAGATTGTGAGGCCCTTGCTGCAATTACTGGCATTAAACATTTCCATGAGTATGTTTATGGACATAAGTTTGGACTTATCACGGATCATAAGCCTTTACTAGGTTTATTTGCTGGGGATAAACAGACTCCTCAAATACTCTCCCCTCGAATGACAAGCTGGGGTATTTTGGGGGTAGCATACTCATACACACTGACATATCAGCCGGCAAACATCTCAGCCATGCTGATGCCCTCAGCAGGTGCCCGATCCAGCTGCAGCAGAGGACCAGGAGACTGAGGAATCCATCCTTCTCATTGGTCATCAGCAGGACTTCCTACTGACTGCTGCAGACATTGCTGCCCATTCAGCTAAAGGCAGACTCTTAAGGCAAATTCTGGACTGGGTGAAAAGGGGATGGCCACAAGGGTCTATGCCTGCTGATTGTCATCCCTTCAAAATAAGGCAACAAGAGCTGTCTTGCAGCAAGGGTTGTTTACTATGGGGGAGTAGAGTGGTAATTCCCTCATCCTTACAAAAGCACGTAGTGGGGGCACTCCACAAGGGTCACCTGGGCATCATTTGTATGAAGTTCTTAGGCCGAAGTTATATGTGGTGGCCAGGGATGGACCAGGCAATATCTGAATGGGTGTCAGCAGTGTCAGGAAACTAGGCCATTACCCCCAAAAGCCCCAGTAAGAGAGTGGGAAGCCCCCAGAGGGCCATGGTCACACCTGCATATTGATTTTACGGGGCCCTTCCAAGGCCAGACCTTCCTCATCCTAGTAGATGCTTTCTCCAAGTGGGTTGAGATAGTTTTAATGACCTCTACAACAGGGGTCCCCAACCACCGGTCCTCAGACCGGTACCGGTCCATGGAACAATTTCTACTGGGCCGCCGGTTTGCTGGGCGCTGCCATCTTGTTTTGATGAAAAAGTGCTTCCGGTGAGCTTTTCCAGGTAGAAAGCAGCGTTTGGGTGCTGAAAGAATTCTAGCACCTTAGTTTCATCGAAGGTGGGGGGGGCAGCTTCGAACAAAACTAAGGCGTGAGGATTCTTTCAGCACCCAAGGCAAGGTGAGCCGAGCGACTGTCCCGAAGCCATCGCGAAGCCCATCGACACAGGTACAAAGGAGGAGTTGAAAGTGGCAGGGAGAAGTGGGGGACAGCTGGCTGGCCGGTCGCTCGGCTTGCCTTGCCATGCGTGCTGATGCCGGTACCGGGCCGCAAATGATTTTGTGATGCCGGTACCGGGCCGTGGCACAAAAAAGGTTGGGGACCACTGCTCTACAACATCTGAAGCTGTCAGCTTAGCTTTACAAAAGGTGTTCGCCACCCATGGGCTTCCCGACCTAATTGTATCAGATAACGGGCCACAATTTACCTCAAGAAGTTTTGAGCTGTTTCTCATTAGTTTAGTCATAAGACATGCATTAATTGCTCCTTTCAATCCCTCTAGTAATGGGATGGCAGAACAAGGGGTAAGATCTGCGAAAGAGGCACTAGCAAAGATAGGCCCAGGGCCATGGCCAACTAGAGTAGCCCAGTATCTGCTAATTCAACATTCTACCCCATGTCCATCCACAAATCATAGCCCAGCAGAATTATTAATGGGCCGAAGACTTAGAACAGTGTTAGATAGGCTGCATCCTGCCTATACACCAGACAAGCCCCTTGACTCACATTGCAATACCAGGGAATTTGATGTGTGGGACCAGGTATTCGCTAGGAACTACACTGGTAATCCTGTGGCTACCAGCATCCATAACTAGCATAACCAGGCCATGTTCATACATTGTGAAGTTAAAGGATGGCCGGACCTGGAGGCGCCACATTAATCAATTAAGGGGGTGAGGGAACCTGAGGCCAGGATCTGTATTAACAAGGGAGAATGATGAGTTCTCAGGAACTGACACAAGACCATCTGCACCAACCACACTCCAGCAGCCACACTTACCAGAGAGGCCATGGGTTGAGGAATCACCAGCAGAGGTCCAACTGCAGCAGTCGGAAGTTCCGGTTGAAGAGGTTCCAGCCGAAGAGGTTCCTGCCACGTCCAACGAGCCATCACTGCACAGATCAACTAGGATCCACTGGCGCCCAGCCTACCTCGAAGACTACATATGCGCTGTTGAGGTGGGAAGGAGTGCTGTGTTCTGAAGTTCCCCCTCTGGTCCGGTTTCCAGCAGGGGGCGCCCAGCCGCAACCTGATTGGCCAGTAGTTTGACAGCCAACTATATAAGGAGCTGTCAAACAGGCCAATAGCTGTTGCCTCATGGCTGAATGGTTCATTTGCTGTTAGTGCACGAATTCAATAAAGCCCGAGCAACCAATTTAGCCGCCTCGCCTCATTCTGTGGTGCGTTCGTTCCCAGTACGAAGCACTTGCAGACTTTCATTATCCAAACTAGGTAAAATCATCAGTGCTGCTGACATTGCCTAGTTTGGGTAAAGTCTACAAAACAGAGACCACCAAGGACCCCTCATTTCACCCTGAAATGACAAACATTCTTCTTTATTGGAACAATCAGTTTACCATCCAGCATATATTATTCCCTTCATCTGAATCTGATCTCCTTTGTAATGGTGTTTCTGCAATTTCTTTTGTTCTGAGGTCCCTGCTACTTTTCAGTGGGTTTTGCATTTGTGCATAGAACATGAATGACTATTTCAAGTCCTGCATTAAATAAATTATTTTTATTTATTTATTTAGGCAATGCATTTACTAGGCTCTTAGTGTTAGTATAATAACACTTCCATTAAATATGACACCTTAAGAAAGCTACTTAATTTCTGATTCCCAATATTTAGCCACGTCTCCTTTCATCTAAGAGCAAATGCAGTAATAAATAAAATATTAGGTGTACATTTGTGTTAATTTTAATATTTGAGGAAAAATGCAGTAATAAATAAAATATTAAGTGCACATTTGTGTAAATTTTAATATTTGAGAGCAAAGAGTTCAGCTCATTGCAACTAATCAGGAATATTTGGTAATGAGAGATAGTATATTGTATGCCTTCTTTATATCTGCCATTACTTTTAAAATAAATGATTATCTTTCATTATTTGCCAAAAGAAATAGAAAGCAACCAATGAATGTAACCCATTTTTAAAGAGGAGGTGCTAAGAAACTATGGGTCCATGCTATGGATAAATTTATATCTCATTGTTTCACCAAATGTGAAGTCTTTTTGTAGCTCTTGCAATTTATAAGACTCTTTCAGAAAAAAAAATCTTTTATTTGAAGCGCACAATCCTGTCTCCCTAGGACAGCATCCCAGGGACTGTAGAATTAGATGCAATCCTATTCCAATATAGAAAGAGATATCCAATTTGGAGACAGAACCCAGGCTAAGATTTCTTCTCTATCAAGGGTCACTAACTTCCAAGGTTTTCATAAAGAGTTGTGACAGCAGAGGAGAACAGGCCAGGATTGAGGATCTGCTGGATCCCCAAATCTTTTAATGCCTTGTCTTGCCTGGAACATTAAATTCAGCTCAAAAACTGATTCAGAAATATTTCTACATGCAATCTGACATAATTTTGTTTTAAACGGGGAAAAAACACAGAAAGAAGCAGGAAATACTGTTCCTTCCTACTTCTGTCCTACTTATTTTTCCTTAATAAGGATACTGCATAATGTTTATCAGTGTGTCTTTCTTCAGAATACAGGTAGTCCTTGACTTACAACTATTCAAAGTTACAACAGCAATGAAAAGAGTGGCTTACAACCGTCTTCACTCTTTGTTGCAAAGTTCCCAACGTCAAGTGATCGAAATTCACCCAATAAGCATATATTGACAATAAGCATATATTTATTTGCTGCATCCCAGGATCATATGATCACCATTAGCAACCATCCCTGCAGACTTTCAATAAACAAAGTCAAGGGGAGAAGCTGGATTTGCTTAATGACTGCATGGTTTGTTTAACAACTCTGTTAAGGAAAGTTGTAAAATTGGCTATGATTCACTTAACAACTGCACTGCTTAGCAATGAAAGTTCTGTTGCCAACTGTGGTCATTAGTGTACACTCAGCTGAATACTTGGATTATTTTGTAATAAAATAATAAGACCATGAAGCAAAATGAATAAGTAAACAATGCAAGCTAAATAGCCAGCTACAATGATTTAAGCTAAAGGATTAATTAGAAGATACTTACATAAGAACTGTAATTTACACATTAACAATATCAATAAAGGCAAAATAAGTGTTTTTTAAAAAATGCATGTTTCTAGCTCATATGGTAGGTGCAGTAAGATGAAAGTGATAATGTTAAGTTTTATTCTCCTTGTGAGAACTCTGACACTTCTGGTCACATGAAGATACTCTCCAAAGCCTGGAGCAGAATATATACATTTTGGTTCTATGATGGATTAAGCAGGAAAAACAGGTCAGGTTAATTTTTCCTAGGACTAGAAGATTCAACTTACCAGTTTTTAAAATAAGAACCGGAAACATATTAAAAGCAATGTGGTGCAATGAAGGCCAAACATTAAGTTTGCCAGTGCAATTTTGTGCTGATGTACACCGAAGTGAAAGAAAGCGGAGGACCAACACTGACTGTATCGGAAAGTTGTGGTGCAGTTGTCTCAAGCTAGGGACATCACACACTTTAAATAAGATGTTAAGAATTGTTGGCCTAATGCCCATCTAATAACTGATGGAACATAAGTAAATTAAAACTCACTGACCATTCCACTTCTACCACTTCATGACCATAACCGTATCAAGACCCTTCGACTCTAATGAAGCTGGTAGTTGAACAACCTGATTAAATAACCTGAATAACTTCAAGCTGATGGAGGAAGAGGAGGAAGAAGAGGTTTTAATTCCATTCATCGTCCATGATCGAGGTGTGTATTTTGGCTTCAATACTGCACGCAACAAGTGCAGGCATAAAAGAAAAAAAGAGAGAGAGAGAGAGAGAGAGAGAGAACAAGAAAAGGGGCGGAGGAAGAAAAGATAGGGGCGGGGTTTAGAGCCGCCTTGTTACTCTCCCAGAGTGAAGGAGATCTGGAGGGAGAAAGAAAGCCGGCTGCCGATTCGCGACTCTTGGTTCATTTTACGCCGGGAAATACGAAGCAGGAGAAAGGGGTAGAGCCGAGAACACCCCCCGCCCGCAAACTCCCCTGCAGAAAGGCAGGCTCCAGCCCACGCTCCTGCTGTTTTCAGTGCCTGCCTCCCCCGCTGTCATGAGCATCCATAAAGGAGGGTCCCGCCTGCAGCAGCAACAGCCTGGCGAATAGAGAGCTTACAAGACACCCGGAGTGGGAAAGGCAAGGAATACGGGGCTGCAGTGTGGCGGCGGCGGCGGCAGCGAGATCCGGTTTGCCAGCGGAGCTCCCCTCATCGACTCCGGGAAAATCCTACTCGGTTGAGGGCGCACGCCTCTCTGCGCGAAGGACAGAAGCGGGGGCGGCGGCGAATCCTGGCAAAGAGATTAGCCAGCTCGGCGCTGCTGAGGTGGTCAAGAGAAGAGAAGGCTATATATACAATTGCCACCCTTCCTACGCTTTCTGTTTCTTCGTTTAGCTCGGGGGTGAGACAGAGCAGGTCCATCAGGGCCCCCTCGAATTGCTCCCGTTGTGAGAAGCAAGCCCGCAAAACTCGGTTTATTCTGCTCCTTAATCCCTTTCCACGTCCAGTAAAATTGTCTAAAGCTTCTTCTCCCCTTTCGTTCCCAGTTCTTGCCCCTTCTCCAACATCGGGTATAGCCATGACTGTTTGACCACGAATCTTCTCATTACCTCCCTCCAGCACGCAAAGTGGGCACCCCTGATCTCCCCTGATTTGGCCTAGGCTGAGAAGGGCGCATTGGATCAACCCTCGTCCTGGGGCCCTGCTGCGCCCGTGGGTGCCCCCGCAGTGGCCGGTGGGATGAAGCCTTTGGAGAAATTTCTGAAGAAGCAGGGCTCTCACTTGGCCTCCCGGGCTGTTCCTGGTTCCGGGGGGCAGTTATCTCGCAGGCAAAGCGTCTCCAAAATCCTCCTGCCTGGATTTCTTAAGGAGCCACCTGAAGATCTGACGGAAGGAGGCACGGAAAACACGGGAGATGGCCGCTGGCTGGAGCTGCGGCCCCCCGATTCCTCTCTGCGTTCCCCAACATCCTTCTCGTCGGAGGAGCTTTCCCCAGGAGGTGGCGGAGGAGGCGAAACCCAGCTCAGTCCTGAGTCGGTGCCTACTTGCTGCTGGGTCCCGTTGGCAGAACCGGAAAGCCCTGATCGCTTAGTGGGGAGGGTGCTGGAGAGGCTGGGAGGGGACCCGACAGCCCCTCATGGACATGGCTGTGGAGCCGGTAAGGGATCTACGGGTGGGACTTAGGGTGAAGGTTGTGGCTGCTGCCAAAATGGGGATGGGACAATCGTTGCAAGATGGGGAGGAGGGGCTACTGTCATCGGGCAAGAGCAAAGGGGATTAAAAGGTTATGGGCAGGGTCGGGGGGCTCATGGTGGGAGTATTAGATAGATCAGCTTGCTTTAATTGCAAATAGGAAACAGTTTGGAATTGCTACACATGGCATCATAGGGAAAGCGGGGGAGTGTCTCTGTGTATGTGCAAAGTGTTTTGTCTTTAATAAGTGCAGCATGCCCTTCCTGATACCTAAAATTGAATCTAGCCCTTTCAAAGCTTTGATTTCAAGGTCATGTTTTTTTTTTTTCTGGATGCTCCTCCCTTTCTTAATACTATTGGGGAGAAGATGTTTGGGAGTGGAATCAAGAATATAATGTTTTTCTTTCTAAATGTTCCTTTGGGTGATTTGATTTCCATCTTTTCTCTTTAGTTACCCTAGTTAGTGAGAAGCAGCGATATGGAGAAATAGGTCTCACATGATAGTAGAAATTGCTTGGGAAGCATCAGAGTAACAGATTAGGAAAAGGAATACCTGGATGGTGACAAACATAGGAAGCACCATACAGGTAGCATTTTTCTAATGGAAAGAGGGCAGGCGCTAAGTAGGAGAGATACTTGTCATTATATTAAAAAGATTGCTTGCTTGCTCTTGGGGTAGCCAAGAGAATCAGGTCAGATCAACCTTCCAGGAAACTGTGAAGGGAAGAGAAAACCAAACTTTTAAATCCCTTTTGCATGTAACAGGATGAATATGAGCAGTAAGGGTTTTAAAGAGGAGATATTGATTTGGGGCTGTAGTAGCAATCACTTTCAAATGCTGAATGCGTCCTAGCCCAATCTCTGTGCATCAGATATATTGGAATACAAAGCCTATCACCTCCCTTAGCACCCTCATCAGAATACACCTCATACATGCCAGGTTGGCTGTGCAATGTCTGGCTTAGTATGAGATATTGGAAGATGTGGAATATGAGCTCTAAATCAAAAACACCCAATCTGAATCTCAGTTCAGTCATGAGTGTAAAATATGCTCCCTCCTCAATTATACTAGCATGTCTGTAGAACCAAAGATCCTGTGATTTGTCTTGCAGTTTTGTAAGAATAATTGTTGGAAGATGTGGGAGGGACTTTGAACTCCCTAGCAAATGTGCCATATAAATAATCACTTTTTGTAGGTTGAAAACTATTTTTAGTAGCGCTCTGTACAATAACCTCTTGCATTATAAAAGACTTGGTCTTTTATTGCAGGCTTCGAAAAGAGTGACTTGATTGGATGCATGTGATACATAGATATTATTTTCCGATTTCCAATCAGGAAAACGTTTACTGTATATGGAAGGTGAAAGATCCTAAGTTTATGGAATTCTTTCCCCAGGCTATCAGCCTACTGTGAACATGTAACTGGATGACTAATGCAAACTTTAAATTAGTAAGTGTTTGTACATTTGCAATATTATTTCAGTTGTGGTTTGATAAATGAGGAGCTGTGGTGTGATACTCACAAAAAAAGAGGCAAGCCTTTGGTTGCACAGGTGTGGCTGCCATCTTGACATTTTTTTTAACCCTCTCTGCAGACATTGCTGAGATCAATGGGGTGCGGGGCGGGGGGGGGGGGGGGGAGAAAGGAATAGGAGCCAGTTTTGGACCAGTTTTGGAGCCAGGCTGGTTCGCACCAGCTTACATACTAGGTGATTGCTTTGCCCTTGATAACTGGCAACTGAATGTGTAAACTGATTGCATCAAAAAACCCTGGAATGATGAAAAGTTCTCCTGAACCACATCTTTAATGATTCACTCACACATGGTGGTCGGTGCTGGATAGGCAATCATCTAAAGATACACAGTTATGTGAAAAGCTGGATATAAATCTAATGAATAAATGAAATGAAATATGATGTTATACTAAGGGATTAAAAATTACAGATCAGAGTAGTGGCAAAAGGCCTTTTTGTTTCTCAAATACAGTATCTTTCAATCAGTAGGCTCACCCCTTTTACTAATCCACAATTTCCTTATAGTTTTTTGTTGAATAAAAGACAACTAAGTGAGTTCAGACACGTTAAGCTATAAATTATGCTTTACCAATCACTGTTTGGAACCAAAATCATATCGTGGAATTAAAACTGGAAAGGATTTCTAACTTAAATGTACAGATAGTCCTCGAGTTACAACCACAATTGAACCCAAAATTTATGCTGTTAAATGAAACATTTCGTTAAGTGAGTTTGCCACATTTTATGACATTTTTGCCACAGTGAATCATTGCATTTGTTAAATTAGCAACATAAAATTGTTAAATGAATCTAGTTTCCCCATTGACTTTGCTTGTCAGAACATTGCAAAAGGTGATCATCTGACCCAGACATTGCAACGGTCATAAATATGAGTCAGTTGCCAAGGGTCTGAATTTTGATCATGTGACTATGGGGATGCTACAATAGTTGTGTAAGTGTGAAAAATGATCATAAGTGCCTTTTTCCAATGTTGTTGTGACTTCAAGCAGTCACTAAATGAACTCGGGTTTTAACTCAAGGACTATCTGTATTTTTAATATATTTTTTAAAAAGCTTGCAGTCAATTTACTTCCTTGTATATGATTCAATTATAAATTGTATGGGAAAGTGCTTTTCTTTCAAGTCAACACTTGAAAGTAGCAGGGGTGGAGTCTATTTTTGGGGAAGGCCTGACTACCCTCGCCAAGTCTCTAGTACTATCCATACAAGCATTAAATATACATAGGCTTTTGAACCTCCCTCCCTATCTTGCTTGGTGGACTTGAATACTGCTTGAATGTGCAGGAACTGTAAAGGAAAGTTCATTGATAGTTACAAAAAATGATTTTTCATAATTTCAATCATGCTCCTCCATGAGAAAAAAAACCTACAGATGTTCAGGCCATCTCATCTGTATCCTCATGTCAATCCTGTTGATAACTAGCAATCCACAAATCATCCAGATCAGCAGTTGCCAACCGGTGGGCCATGGCCCACTGGTGGGCTTTGAGAAAATTTTGGTGGGCCGCAGAGAAATCTCACCTCCAGAGCACCCCCAAAGCAATTAATCCAGGCTGCGCAGAAACACAAGGCTGCACTGCCCACATGGCCTGTGGAAACCCTTCCCGCCCACTCACTCCTTACCCAGCAAACTTGCCTGCTAAATTGCTATTTTTCCGACCATCAGCTGTTCTGCTGTGCCAGGAGATTTAGATTAACTAGGAAACAGGAAATGGTTGGATTTCTTGCTTTCTAGCTAGTCTTTAGACCTTCGGCTCTGCTTTTAAGCACAGCTGAACCTCCCTTAGGACTGAAGGTTTTATTATTCAATGCAGACTCACATCAAGCAAATTTTATGTGACAGTCTCAGGTAGCTGATGGCAGATAGATAGATCACTGAATGATTCTGTGAACAACTCAATCTGCCTGCCTGCTTTGCCTGATTTTGGGTAAAAGTTGCTCTTTTTTTATAAAAAAATAAATATTTATATAAATATTTATAATATTTACATACAAGCCATGCCCAGCCAGTCACATGACCATCAAGCCATACCCACAAATTAGGCCACGCCGACAGAAACAGTTAGTGGTCCCTGGGATTTAAAATTATGAGTTTGGTGGTCCCTGAGGTCCAAAAGGTTGGCAACCTCTGATCCAGATGACCAGTGGACAGACATCTGTGCTTCAAATATCTCACCACCACATGCTTTGCAGTAGAGGTGTCAAACTCAGTTTCATTGAGGGCCACATCAGAGTTGTGTTTGACCTCTGGGGACTGGGGTGGGCGTGGCCAGCTCAATGTCATTCATGTCGGGGGCACCTGTGGTGACCAAGTGCTAAGGCAGGACTTCCCTCAGACCCTCCCTCCCTCTCATAATAAACTCCTTCCTTCCTTCTCTCCTTCCTTTCTTCTCTTTTTCCTTCCTTCTTCTTTCCCCTCTTTCATTCTTTTTCCTTCCCTGCTCTCTTCCCAACTTTCCTTCTTTTTCTTTGTCTTTCCTCTTTCCCTTTCTCCTTTCCTGTCCCTTCTTGGATGCTCAAATGCAAAAGGGGAAACATTTCTCCTTTTGTTTTGTTTTGCTAGCCCTCTGCCAGTGAAAATGGAGCCCAGGGGGACCACGCATAGCCCTCCTGAGCTCAATTTTCACTGGCAGAAGCACCATGAGTCAGTCCTTTGTTGTTTCCAGGGCGGCTCTACGGGCTAGATCTAAGCACCCATGGCCCGTAGCCATCCCGCGGGCCATGAGTTTGATGCCCTTGCTTTACAGCATCTTTCTCCCATCTGATGTTCCTCATGTATTTGGGGATGTGCAATTATCAAAATATTCAGTCATTTTGGTGGAATTCTAGAAATTGAAATTCTAATGTATCTGAGGGGACCATGCTAGAAATACTTGAAATGTATCTAGTATTTGTGTAGCAAAATCGTTGAAGTTCAGATTTTTTTCTGAGAATATTATTTTGTCGTTAAGCAACATTAAATTACCATCAATTGATCAATCCTAAATTATCAGGAATTGATCAATTCAGTGAAGGCTATCAGTACCTATTGCATACAAGACTGAAGTAGGTTGTAAGTTAGATATTTAATTCATAAAGTATTCGTACCAGATCTCTTGGATCTGTCATAATATAACAATATAATTGTCTTATTTTATTCTAATCTATTTACTATTTTCTTCATAGTATGGAAATGGTAATTTCAATGTTATATTTAATTGTTTGTTAATGTCTGGGTGGGGTCTAGATGGTATTGAATCATACTACAGGTAGTCCTTGACTTACAACAGTTCACTTAGTGACCATTCAGAGTTACAACAGTGCTGAAAAACGTGACTTGTGACCATTTTTCAGACTTATGCATTGCAGCATCCCAAGGGTCACGTGATTTACATTTGGATGCTTGACAATTCACTCACACTTATGATGCTTGCAGTGTACCCTGGGATTC